ACAATAAATACGAGACAGTGGCGGATCCAAGATTTTGGCCAAGGATTCAAAATTATTAGAAAGCTTTAAAGTGAAGTATTCATTTTCAAGGGGCCTACACACACACACACACACACACACACGTAGTTCTGCATTGCAAAAGTAGCTCCTTAGGAAACTCAGTAAAACCGTGTTTAAATAAGTCACGTTATCAATAACATACTAACGAATATCCTGTATGAAACAAACCATCACTCAGGTAACTAAGCAAAAAAAGTCTCGTATTTTAGAGTCCCTCAGCTTAAAAGGGGTGAGCTGACTAACAAGCGGTGATCATCACAAAGTTTTGATATAGTGTGTCCAAATGGAATGTTTGATTATTCTAAATCAATCATAGCGAACGTTATTTGAAAGGAGTGTTGCACTAATTTCAATATCAGAAAAGTCGAAGTCTGATCGAATATTTACGAGATATATATTTCCGCGCATTATAAGCCACTGCAGTATTTTCAAAATATTTTATTGGACTTGTTAAATAAATATTTTAAGTAACGTGAGCTGTGAGTGACGAAAAAATCGGATATGTAATAAGCAGAAAAAAAAAGAGCAATTCCATTACTTTAGATCGCAAACCTTAAATTCTAAGTGTGTTAGATTTCAACAGTTATTCTATTTACGTTGATACATCTTTATATGACGTCATTCATCTAAGTGGCAGTAAAAAAACTAAAACAATGAGGGAAAGTTTAACAAAGTCACAGCTTTTTTTCGTGTTTCTTTAGTCGACCGTGACGTCAAATTATCTCACTCTACGTTTACGTGATTAATTTTCTTTAAAGGACCTAACTTAGTTATTGTTGCTTTCGAGTTGCTGTTACCTAGTAAAGTAACATGGCTATACATTCGAGAAAACAACTATTTGAAAATATTTATGCTAAAATAATAATACATCTCAACAGAAGATATGTTATTGTGTATATAACTGTGCATTTTGTTCTTATGTCCGTGATAATATTCATCGTTTGAACTTCTGATGCAGACGGCATCTGACTCTTGTCATTTTAAAAGATCTTAATACCAACTAAAATTAGTGACAAAACTTTTAAGTCTGAAACGCAACGAAATATTTCTGTCGAATAAATTAATTAAGGTATAATTGTGCTTCATAAGCATTTTTTTTTAATTTAAAGCAAATCAAATGCTGTTGTTTGTTATAAAGCACAAAACTACACGAAGGGCTATCTGTGCTCTGCCCACTATGGATATCGAAACCCGGTTTTTAGCAGTATAAGTCCATAGACATTTTGCTGTGCCACTGGGGGTGTAGAGGGGGGGGGGGCTAAAGCAAATGTTATCTTAAATGTTGTCTAGCATAACATTCTGATTTCTATACGTCCCCAAATTCCTGTGTTAATGTAGGCTCAATATCCTGATGATGACTGTAGCAAAGTAGCCAATTTAGTGGAAAAAATTACGATCATGGAGTAAAACCCATTAAAAAAGTGTCTCTTTAATGATTTAGTTTATCTTCTACTAACATCCCAGTTACTTTATCCCTCTCTTTATAACAATAAAACTGTTTATTTATTGCTTCTGACTGTGGTGAACATGAATCGTATGTGTGATGAGATATGTCAGCATTCGGTTACTTTCTAAATGAAAAATATATTGATTTCTACATTTGGGGTGGGGGGGAGCTGATCATTTTTTTGACTTCATTACAGCTTTGGTGGTTCGTTTTCTCACAAAGAAATTCCTCTCAGAGTATTCCCATTGTACTTCGTTCTGCTACGAGCGAAACGTCAGTGTCAACGACAAAATACTTCCGGTACGAATTACAGACACTTCCGGAAAGGTAAGACAAGTAACTGCTGCCACAATTAATAACTTTATGATAACTAGCAAGTTCTAGAACTTTCTATGGTGTTTGTTTGTTTGTTGATTATATATTTGGTCTACATTTTCTGTACATGAAATAACTGGTTAACTTTTAATGAATTATTTTGTGTTGTTTTTAAAAGAATTGAAATAAGTTGTTTATTTTCAAAAATATTAATATCGCAACTAACAAATCTTCTGGTATAATGTACATGAACCCAAAACTCATATTAAAAAAAATGCAAAATAGGTATCATATTTTAATGATAATGAAATTATACCAATAACATTGATCACAATTTAAATTATCAAGAAATTCGAAATTTGCTACAAAAGACAGAAGTAGTATAGGGTGACACTACGGAGGCGGAAGTAAACATGCACCACCTGAGGGCAGGACCCAGTTTCGACAAGGTAGCATAAATCGAGCATTGTTAGGTGGTATAATAGGATTACGTCACCAACACCAGGGGCGCGTTGCTATGGATGCAATGCTAAGTGACATCATATTATTAAGTTGTCATCACCAGAAGGCGTCTCCTAACATTAATTTTTTTCATAATATTTCATTAGATTTATAGTTCTTGCTTTTATAGTTAATTATTAATGACACTTTCTGGGATACTGTAGCGAAAAACGACTGTATCAGAATAATGTGCGTGTATCCTGTCTTTGAAGATTTTAAGAACACACAAAATCTGTAATATAACTGTGATAAGAATTTAAAAGTTCTTGACAAAATATTTGAATTTGTTGTTTCTTACGATAAAAGACAGGAAAATACATATATTTTTGTTTCACATTTATTGTTTACTGTCTATATTACTGGAAATACTTTACAACCAAAATAAGCCGTATGTTCACTATACTTTAACTCTGACAACGAAGAACGGATCTGGTATTTACTGAGCTTAACAATCAGTAAAACAAATTTATCTATTCATGCACTTTACATAAATAAATCACTCTATTATTGGTAAAATAAGTACCATGAATATTAAAGTGATATACTTCTAAGTTTTGAGATCTCACAACAAAAGGTACGGTCTACAAGAAAAGCCATATCTATCCTTTACATGAAATCAGTTTATAAGAACGTTCCTATAAATTCACGTAAAAACTGTGTCAGACATTACCAACATGATTATATTTATCTCTAGAGTCTTGCACTTTACACAAAGATACAGAAAGCGTAGGTTTTCGTTTAGCATAGATTTATGATACATTTGTTTTTGTTTGTTTTTATTGTTGTTGTTGTTTTTTTCTACATCTCTGAAACTTCAAGGAATACAGTGTGGTTGACACCCTACTATAGGAGGGAACTACCCTAATCCTATCGACTATGTTAGTGCTTCTCTACGTTAAGCTACAGTGTCTTGAGAATTTCATGAATGTACATTTAGCTTATCGCATCTTTGGAAAAGTAAAGTTTTATCCTTTTAAGACCACACGCCCAGTCATTCCTGTTACGTGACATTTTTTTACCACAATGAAAACGACTGGCTTTCTGTATTTCAAGACTTGATCTCCCCAAGTGGCTGAGCGGTAAGTCTAAAGGCTTATGACGCTAAAAATCGGGCTTTGATACCCGTGGTGGGAAGAGCACAGAAAGCCCACTGTGTAGCTTTGTGCTCAACAAAAAACAAACAAACATATCAAAACTTATATACAAATCGGTAAAAATTATAAACTACAAAATAGAATTATGTACATAGTTCACTGTTTTCATTTGTAAATAATATAACAGTAAAAGTACATATATGTAAGTACGCTGAGTGACAATGGCACTACTACACTAGTTGATAATAAACATTCTCTTACATTCTCAGAAAATGTGCAGTTGCCTAGAGATTAATCTCAATTCATTTCTGTTTAATACCGCTTGAGGGAGACACTGGATTATAGAACAGTGTCGTGTAATCTAGCAACAATATTCAAGAATGCAACATATTTCACCCTTTTTAATACAAGAAATATAAATGAACAAACGTGCTAAGGACAGTATCCTTTTGAATTATATTTAACTCATTTTAGTTAGTATACACGCAATGGTTTCTACATAGACCCATAACAAGAAAGGGATTATTTTGGTAGATATAAATGAGGGACAAACGTGATGGTTGTTGTTTGAAGTTAAGCACAAATCTACACAATGGGATATCTGTGCTCTGACCACCACGGGTATCGAAACCCGGTTTGTTGTTTGTTATTAAGCACAAAGCTATAAGAAGAGCCATCTGTGCTCTGCCCACCACGAGTATCAAAACCCGGTTTGAAATAGTATAAGTCCACAGACATATATCACTGTGCCACTGGGGGAGGGGGGGGGCAAATGTGATGGAAAATACAACTATAGCTTTACATAAATTGGAAAAAAGAAAAACAAAACTGGAAACAAGAAAAAATGTAAATTAGGGATAAAACATTATGAAAATATAATTATAGATTTATATAAATTGTAAGAAAAGGGAAAAAAGAAATGGAAACAAATATATATATATATATATAAGTCAATATGTTTGTTTCATATAAAATTTAGTTTTTTTAAATGATGATTATGTTAACTGTTATAACGTTTATGAATTGTTTGTTTGTTATGAATTTTGCGCAAAGCTACACGAGGGCTACCGGCGCTAGCTGTCCCTAATTTAGCAGTGGAAGACTAGGGGAAGGCAGCTAGTCATCACTACCCGCCGCCAACCCTTAGGCTACTCTTTTACCAACGAATAGTGGGACTGACCATCACTTATAACGCCCCCACGTCTGAAAGGGCAAACATGTTTGGTGGGAAGGGGATTCGACCCCTGCGACCCGCAGATTGTGAGTCGAGCGCCCAAACCTACTGGCCTATAACGTTTATGAAACTACAATGCTAGTTTTTTCATTAATAGTAAATAAAACAATAATCTACACCATGATTCCACACTTATGTGGACTAAATATTTAGATACTCGCAGCTAAGGAAAAATTTGCATATGGTTATTATCACCCAACCAATAAAAAGTGTAGTAATAAATCAAATGATCATTTAAAAAGGAAATGCTATATTTATTTTTACGTCAAGAAATAACAGTATAATCGTAAAACTGAGACAAATACTCTGAACAGTTTTACTCCTTTAAACTTCCACTTCACTAACAGATAGGGTGAGGGCGAGGTCTGATTCGTTTTGCTCATAACCAACTAAAATGATAAGACCAAATAATTATAAGCGTAAAATATATAATTTTAATATTAGTGCCATTTTAACAAGTTCCAGTTTGATGTAATACTGTTTGAAAATCGCGCAGTATTTGTTTTTTAACTAAAAAAATTATAACAAAAACAGTTTTTCTAATTCAACTGCCTATTTTTTAACAAGTAAGGTTTTCTGAAATCATACAAAACAACAAATATACCAATAAAAAAAACATATTACTTGTTGAGGGAACTACCATACATAATCATAACTCATAACAACATTCAATGTTTTTATCAACTTGGTTTGTAAAGAAAGATTAACAGGTAACTTTTAATGAATGCCCTCTATTACATGAAACTTGTGTTTAAATAATTTATAATTAGTTTCTAGATGATTTAGGAAGAATATTCATGATTAACAAACAAAGGTGAAATGAGCAACAACTGCCTAGTTCAAGGCGATACTTGTTTAGGAAATCCTGGAAGACAACGTTTCACAAGCCACCGTATACCGTATAAGCTCTTACGAAACCAGTACAAGGTGATCTGAGGACGAAAGGCAGAATGCTTTGAAAGCATCGTCCTTCCTACCCGAGCTACTTTTGTACATTAGTCCTCTAAAATATGCTCTACATTTCACCTTCATTTGTTAAATTTAAAAGCCAACCTTTACTGAACATCATTAATCACACGAGATTTATGTTTAACCAGTTTTAAAAGCCAATGTTCATTCTATTCGATTGCTTTGTTTTTAATCTTAATGACAAGTTACGCATGCGATGGATTAAACGACCAGGAAAGAGATCTCTATGATTCTGATAAAGCCATCCCTAATTTAGCACCGACCAAAGTTCGGTTTCTCCCCCTTTCAGTCATAGAGTCTTGTCGCAGCAAATGTGTTAGTGCACAGGCCAGGGAGGCAACCGACTGACATCAACCAAATCTGCTCTTTTTTTTTCTACTTTATTCTTTATTTATCATTATGTTCTTTCTAAACACCAAGTACCTAATGTAAATAAGATTATTTTAACACTATTATTTCATCTACTATAAAACGATAAAAACCCATAACTCGATTACTTTCGAAAGGTGGACCTTTGGAAAGCGCTTGCGTTACAGAGTTTTTATCGTATTATAATAAGACTTTTGAGCCTACATGTTTTTCTGACATCATGAATGTTTCGAATATAATTATAAGCTTGAGGAGTTTGGCAGTGGCCATCCAGTGCGGAATGCTAACCAGTAGGCTAGTTGCTAAAACGAATGAAGTTGGCAACTGATATATTGTTGTTGTTTTTTTTAAAAGGATACCAAGAATGATTCTTATCCGACTCGGATGAATATTAAAAGCTATTATGCTTCCAAAAATTATTTTTGCTCCACTTGGATGAATATTAAAAGTTATTATGCTTTCAAGAATCATTCTTGTTCCATTCGGATGAATATTAAAAGTTCTTCTACTACCAAAAATGATTCTTGCTCCACTCGAATGAATATTGAAAGTTCTTCTGCTACCAAGAATGATTCTTGCCTCATTTGGATGAGTATTGAGAGTTATTCTGCTACCATGAATGATTCTTGCTTCATTTGGATGAGTATTGAGAGTTATTCTGCTACCATGAATGATTCTTGCTTCATTTGGATGAGTATTGAGAGTTATTTTGCTACCATGAATGTTTCTTACTCCACAGGGTTGAATATTAAAAGTTCTTCTGCTACCAAGAATGAATGATTCTTGCTCTACTCGAATGAATATTAAAAGTTCTTCTGCTTTCAAAAATCATTCTTACTCCTCACGGATGACTATCAAAGTCTGCTACTAAAGATGATTCTTGACCCATTCAGATGAATATTAAATGGCCTGGTGGTTAGGGCGCTCGATTTTCAATTTACGGATCGCGGGTTCGAATCCCCGTCACCAAACATGTTCTCCCTTTCTGCAGTGGGGATTTATAATGTGATGCTCAATACCACTATTCGTTAAACGAATAGTCCAAAAGTTGGCGGAAGATGGTGTTGACTAGCTGATTTTCCTCTAGTCTATTACCACTACATTAGGGACGGCTAACCCAGATAGCTCTCGAGTAGTTTTGCGCGAAATTCAAGGAAAACAAACAAACAATGAATATTAAAAGTTTTTGTGCTACCAAAATTGATTCTTGTCCCACTCAGATGAATATAAAATGGCTCTGCTACTAAGTGCCCAAGAAAAGTGCATGAAGTACTACATAATCAGACGATTATTTTTAATACCACATAATCAGGCGGAATAATCGGTTTTAGTTTCCTATAGCTCCGTGTTATTGTTCGTTACAATACAACGCTTTATTACCAATCAATCCCCCCAGCGGCAAGTTTGTGTGCTTACAACTCTAAAAATCGAGTTACAATACCCGTGGTGGGCAGAGCCAGATAGCCTATGTGTAGCTTTGTTTAACATTAAAAACAAACCAATCAGCTAACCAATTAGCAACCATGCGTATCAAGTGGTTATTTACGTTCTAAAACGTAGACAATTTTATACAGTCGTATCAATTGTTTATGTGCTGTTTGATTAGTCGGGGCTTCAATACCTAAGGGCTTGTAATCAATCTCATCCGCTAACCCATTGAAATGGTAACTATACAAGTCTGTGATTATGAATCTACTACATTAAATGCAAACATCAAGCTTGTTTACCAAAAGATTAAACTATAATAAGCTTGCTCTTTATCTCGAAGCTACGTTCGATGTGCCAACTTCTCTGTTTGTCTTCCATTCTTTGAAGAAAGGTGACAAAAGGAAAGCCATGCATGAAGACTTACAAAGTTATATGACGTGCATGTTAATTTAAACAACTATAATCAGCCTATAATAACTACGCCTAAGTGAATGTACCTTATTCTAAAGGCAGTAAAGAACGAATAAATTATATGAGAAATAACCATAGATAAATATAACGAAACCAACTAGCTATATATACGAATAGCAAGGCTTTGTCAAAAGTGTTTAGTGGTGTTCCGGAATAAATCATCCTTCTTCAAATGTTAACAGTTTACAAAGTTACAGATATATTCGATAACTATTAGGGAGGTTATAGAAATTTGTTCACAATATGTGTTTATTAAAGTTTAAATTTCGATCTATATAAAAAAAACAACAACTAATTTTTATGTGTGTGCATAAACCTGAACCATTTAGACGTTTTCAATTAACTTTTATTGTTTGAATAAAGAATATCGTCACATCCAGGTGGTTGGAGCGCTCGACTCGCAATGTGAGGGTTGCGAGTTCGAATCCCCGTCCCACCAAACATGCTCGCCCTCTCAGCCGTGGGGGCGTTATAATGTGACGGTCTATCCCACTATTCGTTGGTAAAAGAGTAGCCCAACAGTTAGCAGTGGATGGTGATGACTAGCTGCCTTCCCTGTAGTATATCACTGCTAAATTAGAGACGGCTAGCGTAGATAGCCCTCATCTAGCTTTGCGCGAAATTCAAAACAATATAGAATATCACTAAGCCTATTTCTTGTTTTATCTTCTATGCTTTATTTTATGTATATATCTCTTATGCTTTCTTTTATTTTTGTTTTTATTTGCTTTTGTCTCGCCCCCAGTGGCACAACGCTAGAATCCGGTTTTCGATACCCGTGGTAGGCAGAGCACTGATAGCCCATTCTGTGGCTTTGTGCATAACTACAAACAAACAAACAATCCTTTTGCCTCACTTTTTTTTTCTTGTGTGTTTTTGCACTGTCTATCTTTTTGTCTGAATTCCTTCATTAAGTTACATTTAAATTATAACGACTGATTCTGTATCAATATAGTGCACCCATAATGCTGTAAAAGAGACCCAAGATAATAATGTATAACTAAAGTTTGATAGTTGTATTTACTTTTCTATTTGTCAGGACTCTTATACATCACTGAAATCAAAAGGGCTACTGGAAGGGGCAGATGGATATCTTATTGTCTACTCGGTCACCGACAAACGTAGCTTTGTGAAAGCTCGTGAACTATTAAAACTGCTCAAGGAAGACTTTGGCGAAGAAGGACAGACACCAGTGGCGTTAATTGGGAACAAAGACGATCTTGTTCATTACAGGTGTAATAAAAAAACATTATTATTTTGTTTTTGTATGGAAATCGGTAACAGGAAAGATCACTCTAATTTCCCCTTATATAAAATATACATTAAAAATGTTAAAATGTTCGATTCACACAAAATCCAAATACAAAGGATAGCCCCCTCTCCCGAATAAAAAGTAATTGGATTCCCTACATTTATTTTCTGTAATTGTAGTTACGATTCGAGCCCCTTTTTGGCTCGCCTCCGCTCTGCAATTGCGGGGGGCATAATTACGCAACTGACCCAAAAGAGCAAGAAAATATTTTCAGATCAGTATATTATTAACTGCACTGCAAAAAATAAAGGTGATCGAAATTTTTTTTTCTCCATTTAAGAAAATGCACATTTTTATCCTACTGAAAGGTCGATTTGTATCTATAAGTTCACTTTATTTGTTGCTATATGTATTTTACCCCTGATGTGAAAAATCTATGTACTTCGCTAGAATTTTAATTGTTTTACAGTTAGACTTGTTTAGAACATAAAGTATGGTCTTGATGAATCCAACCATTTTTAACAGTCGTGAATAAAGATGTTTCTCAAATTTATTAGCAGTGAAGGTATGTTTGTTATATTTTTAAGCGCAAAGCTACACAATGGACTATGTACGCTGTGATCACCGCGGGGAATTGAAACCCGAATTGTTTAGTGCTACAAGACAGTGGGAGGGAAGAGGTCAAAAATGTACCTGATTCCTCCAAAGGTCGAGACCGAAAAACCGATGAGGACTTTGACTTGACTTGGAGAGCGTAAGTGGCCCTGAAGAGGGAAGTAAAATCAATGTTCCAATGCAGTGTTTTACACTAGTGTTTATTAATATCGTTAATAACCATATAGCATTTGTAAGTTCATAAACAACAGTAACAGAGGGAGAAAGCGGTCCTAGTGAACCTGACCCCCCACTGGCACAACGGTAAGTCTGCAAGCCTACGTCGTTAAAAGTTGAGTTTCGATACCCGTGGTGGGCGTAACACAGATAGCCTAACAACAACCAAGCCATTCCATAAATCAAATCTATTGTCGAATTTTCTAAATCAGATCATTAAACGATTAACAGTTAAACATTAATATGTCCAATCTCGAGAAATGTCTAGAATGTACATCAAAATATTTACCAGCATAATAGCAATTGAAATTCTACGGACCATCTTTATGGCTGTATATATATATCTTTTCCCCTTACTTTTGATGAACGATTGTGAATGTATTACTTTCCGTTTTTATTCTATAACCATTCTCAAAGGAAATATCGTATGCTTCCGTAATCATTCGTTATTTTCGTAATTATATTTTTCCTAACATTAGTTAGAGGTGCTGAATTGGCCCGTCATGGTCAGCTGGTTAGAGCACTTGACTTGCAATTTGAGAGTCGCGGGTTCGAATCCCCATCCCACCAAACATGTTCGCCTTTCCAGCCGTGGTGGCGTTATGATGTGACGGTCAATTCCACTATTCGTTGGTAAAAGAATAGCCCAATTAGCACTGCTAAATTAGGAACGGCTAGCGCAGATAGCCCTCGTGTAGCTTTGCGCTAAAATCAAAACAACAAACCAAATAAACAACAAAGTGCTGAACTTAGTCCTTTTGAAACTAATGAAATAAAAACTGAAAACTGAATCACTGTATTTTAAGTAGTCAAAGCATCTGACCATCAAGTGAAGTCACGAGTTCGAAGCTGCTTGCTCGGTTTCAATTTCCATATCTTCTTATGTTATAAGACATTGTGACGAAAGAAGTCTTTCAGTCCCTGGCATGCAATCTATAAACATGAAAATATGTTTTCTAATTATTACCTTTATTGTTTTGCTTATTATGCAAATCGTATACAACTCTTCATACAAATTTTTATACAATTCTGCATCAAATTGTTTTAATAAATAAATAAATATTTCACTAGCGTTAATTGTAAAAGTATGAATTAAAAATTATTATTTTTCAGTAATTATAGATTAATTTTTATACTTTTTGTCTCTTTTTTTTTGTTTTTAACTTTTTATAGAGCAGTGTGCTCTGCAGAAGGTCAGCGCGTAGCGCTTTTCTATCCCGGATGTTTATTCTACGAATGTTCTGCTGCGCGAGAAGCTCAAAATGTGGAGACAGCATTCCAGAAATTTTTGGGTCAGGTAAATAAGAGAGTTTGAAACATTGTTTGATTCTAATTGAATAGTAATGTAACAATCCCATAGTCTCAGCGTCGTGCAAACAGGAATTTTCACAAGAGTTTGTTGTTAAACAAATGTTCATAGTATATTCTTATCGATTTAACATGAAGCTTAACACTCAAATTACCGATATGTTTATATACCTTTCCCTACTGGTGAGATGCACATATAGTATAATCTTGAGTAGTTTTATGTTTTTGCCTGTTACAACATTCAATACAAAGAGCTAATCAAGAAATTGGTGAAATTACCGGCCTAAGTCTAAATGTTCTCAAGTCTTACCTTGGATCTGTCTATTACAGGTAGTCACCAGTAAAGAACAGAGACGACGTCTATCGGCCTTTTCCGTACTAACACCCAAGATCCAAAATCCAAGAAGAAATAGCGCGGGAAATTCCACGTTGAGTAGTTGGTGGAAGAAAAATCGACCAAACTCTGAGCGCGAAGTTCGGCAAGATCGAACATTAACCATGTAATAAGCAAGGCTTAGCGAAGAGAAAGAAGTTTCTTTTTGTGGGATGATGAAAGTCATAGTGTAATGTTCGTCATACGCCACATATTTCCATAATTTCGGTTTGTTTATTTGTTATTAAGCGGAAAGCTACATAATGAAATATCTGTGATGTGCCTACCATGTGTATCACAACCCAGTTTTTAGCGATATAAGCATTCACACATACCGATGTGCTACTGGGAACTTAATAAACTTACAAATATTAAAGTCAACTTTCAGTCTTCCCACCAGTCTTCCCTATATTTTTAGGATGTCCTTATATCTCTATATTGTGGCCTAAAATAGGTAATTTTTCCCTGTTAAACCCAATAATTGACTATTTTCTCCATTATTATCACCAAACATTTTTTTAAACAATAAATGATACTATAGATCATGTATTTTATCATATGATAGTGCTTCATATGATTCTCAATTTCACACTGTCAATAATTATTACCCTTTAATATCAAATGAATATTATATCTCAAGGCCTTTATCTTTGTTAGAACAATAATCAGTTTTATGCATACATTCCAGAGTAATGGGCAGGAGGTTAAATTAAATAGTGCTGGAAGAACATGAAGAAAGTATATGGTAGGTTTTCGTAGGATATCGGTTCAGTTGAAGCCCGAGTAAGGGTGTTTACGAACGATATTTTAAAAATTAAATTCGATTTTGATTATGAAGTTGCTTAAATTCACCGTTTCGGGTTGAAGTAATTTTGAAATTATTTAGAAAGTCGCTCTTAAAACTTCATTATTAACTTTAAACTTGCATTTAAACACTAGTAAAATAATTGAATAAACTAATAGTACTTCTAACTAAAGCTGCTCAACGTCACAAAATGATAAAAGTCTTGAATAATGACATAAAAGGTTTGAATATTCTGTCGTGTTTATTTGTTTCTTTCACTTTTTGCACTTTCTCTAGAACTGAGGGACAATTAAATGTGCATCTTTAGCTTGTCACCAAGAGATGAGTCATGAGGGTTGTAGCACTTTATGTTTGTGTGTCATTAACTTGTGTATTTGCAATGATATATTTCATTACTACTTTATTCTATTCGAATTTTGAAGGCTTTGCTTTAGTTAGGACTTGTTTAGCATCATTACAAGTGTTACTTAGATACATATGCATGTGCGTTTCACTAATCTTGTATATTGCTTGGTAGGCGCAGTTTATCACTACTGAGTTATCATGCTAAATCATAGGAAGTATACATACATACATACATACATATATATATATATATACTCTTGGTTAAACAAGGATGACATTAATAGATACCATATTGGTCTGTGGTGACAGAAAGTGAACATCTCGTAAGCCTTGTGCTACAAAGAAGTTTTCAATTGAAAACTCTGGGACTTCTCAATTAAAACATTACAGCCGAGGGCCCACGCATGTAGCAAAGGCTAAGATTCATTTCGCAAAGTCTCAACCAAACCTGAAAACAACAACAAAGACGGATGTCTCTAACTCACTTGATTGTCGGCATCTTTAAGGTCAAATAGCTCAACAATGAAGAGCTATAATCTATGCATACACTGCTAGATACCTTGACATTTGAGGTTATAGATTTCTTTGGTCTTACTTGGTGAGTAGACAGTCTCTCTCTTTCAGGTCACACACTAGCTTTTTCGATGCTTCCTTTTCCATTAGATTTGATACTGCTGTTAGTCTATAACTCTTCACGATGCAATTCTTTTAAGAGTTTGGAAAACAGAGCTTTGAAGAATTGCACTAAATAAGGAGATTTAAGAAACGAATTGTTATTAAATATGTCACTTTTGGAAGGGGATTCAATCTAAATATTGTTGAGAGTTTGGTTAGTTGTTTGTATTTAAGCACAAATCTACACAATGGGGTATCTGTGCTTTGCCCACCA